TGAAGTGCCCCAGGCGGTCGTCGTAGCGGCAGCAGCAGCAGCAGCAGCAGCAACAGCAGCGAATTGCCTGCTTTAAATAAAGGCCTTGAAAATCATTTAATAATGTTAATTTAAGGAATTTCGCAGCGATCGACTTGCTGCTGAGCAACAAAGCCTAACGCTGACACCGTCTGCAGCAGCAGCAACAGCAGCAGAAACAGCAGCAGAAACGGACGGAGCAGCAACGACAGTAGACGCAACAGCAGCAGCAGCAACAGCAGCAAACGCAACAGGATCGGCGCTGGGTAGACGGCGCTGCCGCTACGGTTGCTGCTGCCTTCGCTTTTGCCGCTGGCGTTGCTGCTGCTGCTGCTGCTCGCTACTTGCTGCTGCTGCTGCTCCTCCCGCTGCTGCTGCTGCTGCTGCGAGAGCCTGTAGCAGACCATTCATGGCTCGTCTTCAACTGCAGAACCGAGCCCGATTTTGTAGATAAGAACATTGCACACAGCAGCAGCAGTAGCAGCAGCAGCAGCAATAGCAGCTGCAGCAGCAGCAGCAGTAATAATAGCAGCAGCAAGTGCAAAGACAGTTCGATCCATATGGAGAGATGTCGAGCTTCGAGCAAAACCCAAACGAGTCGGTGCCGCCGCTGCTATTGCTGCTGCTGCTGCTGCTGCTGCTGCTGCTGTTCCTGTTGCTGCTGTTGCTGCTGCTGTTGCTGGTGCCCCTGCTGTTGCTTCTGCTGCTGCTACTATCCCTGTTGCTGCGATTTTGAGTCTCTTGTGTTGTAATCAACGGCTTCTGCGTTTCCGGAGCAAAACGTGGCCGTTGCTGCTGCTGCTGCAGCTGCTGCAGCTGCAGCTGCAGTTGCTGTTTCTTGCTGCTCCTTGCAAAGATGCTGCTGCTGGGTTTAATTTCGTTGCTGCAGTTACTGCTGGTAGAGCTGCCGCTGCTTCTAGTAGGCCTGTTCCTACTGCTGCAGTTAGTGCTTCTGCTGCTGCTGCTGCCGCTGCTATTACTGCTGCTGCTGTTGCTGCTGCTGCTGGTAAAGCTTGCGCTGCTTGCTGCTGTCACTTGTTTAGGGAGGGTTCTACCACTGCCCCTGCTGCTCCTCATCCTTTCGTAGTGCCTCAAACCTCCGCAGATGTGAGCTTAGGGTTTAGGGTTTAGGGTTTAGGGCTTAGGGTTTAGGGTTTAGGGTTTATCATTTGCTGCCGTGGCTCATTGCCACTGGTGGCTTGGCAGGCTGCAGGGCTTTTAGGGTTTAGAGTTTAGGGTTTGGGGTTTAGAGTTTAGCCAGCGTGAAAACCTTAAACCCCAAACCCTAAACCCTAATTCCTAAGCGGCAGCGTAAACCCTTGCTGCTGCATGCATTCAGGCAGCAGCAACTGAGGAGGCCCCTCCTCAGCCCGAGGGGCCCCCCATGTGGGCCCCTGACTTGGGGCCCCTAAACGAGGGGGCCCCCTGGGCAGGGTACTCTGGGGTCCCCCCGGAGGGGGCCCCCCTTGAAGGGGGCCCCCCAGAGGAGATCCCCGCTGAAGGGGCCCCTCCAGGGGGGCCCCCCTTTGAAGGGGGCCCCTCAAAGGGGGGGCCCCCCTCAGGGGGGCCCCCCTCTAGGGGCCCTTCAGCTGAGCTGGGGGCCCCTCCAGAGGGGCCCCCTTCTAGGGGCCCTTCAGGTGAGCTGGGGGCCCCTCCAGAGGGGCCCCCCTCTAGGGGCCCTTCAGCTGAGCTGGGAACCCCTCCAGAGGGGCCCCCAGCAGCAGCAGTACCCTCTCGTGAGTCTTACGAAGAGCCAGGGGGCCCCCAAGGGGCCCCTGCAGCACCTTCGGACGCGGACAGCCCCCAGGGGGGCCCGCCTGAGGGCTCTGTTGGGGGCCCCGAGGGGGGCCCCGAGGGGGGCCCCCCTGGGGGCCCCCTTGGGGGCCCCCAAAGGGCCTCAGGCACACTTGATGCTACAATTCGGCAATCCCCAGGAGGGTCTGGGAGTTGGGGGCCCCCGGGGGGCCCCCAGGGGGCCCCCGGGAGCCCCCAAAGAAGCACTTCAGGGGGCCTCGAGGGGCCCCGCAGAAGTACCTCTGGGGGCCCCCAGGGGCCCCTAAGGTGTACCTCTGGGGGCCCCGAGGGGCCCCTCGACCTCGAGGGGGGCCCCCCGGAAATTGAGAAAGAAACAATTCGGAGAAAGAGCAGCAAGGGGGCCCACTTTGCTGACTACCCTGTGGAGGAGTCCCCAGCAGCAGCAGCAGCAGCAGCAGCAGCAGCAGAACATGAAGCAGCAGCACCAAAGACCGTCAAGGTTTTAATTGATGAGGGTTTTTATGCCGACAAAAATGAAGAGCAGCAAAACAGAAGGAGTCTCCGAATTCCCAACTTTCTCGCCGAACAAGCTTTAGCAACAGGCACGCAGGGTTTAGCGTTTAGGGTTTAGGGTTTAGGGTTTAGGGTTTAGGGTTTAGGGTTCGCGAGGAGTCAGGATTTCTGGGCGTGTCGTTTTCCTGCTCACGACGGCGGAGGCTTCGCAGCCAAGGGTCTAGGGTTTAGGGTTTGGGGCTTAGGGTTTAGGGTTTAAGGTTTAGCGTTAAGGGTTGAGTTTAGGGTTTAGGGTTTAGAGTGCAGCGTTAATTGCTTGGGGTTCTAAATCCAGGGAGAAGAGCTCACGATTTAAGGTTTAGGACCTCAGTTTAGGGTTTAGGGCTCAGGGTTTAGGGTTTAGGGTTTAGGGTTTAGGGTTTAGGGTTTGCGCGCAGAGGACGAGGGTTTTCGGAAGGAGAAGATGGAAGTGGTGTCCTTTTCTGCGGGGAGAGTTCTTGATGCTGCAACAATTAAAAAAGAAAATTTAAAAATAAAAAAAGAAATTAAATTCATTCCCGAAGAAGCCGCCAAGGCCTACATCACTCGCCTCGTTTCCGAGATGGACAAACTCAAAAAACAGGCCCGCAAACCCTAAACCCTAAACCCTAAACCCTAAACCCTAAACCCTAAACCCTAGTAGGCGCTGGGCTGTAAGGGGTGGGGCCTACATCACTCGCCTTGTTTCCGAGATGGACAAACTCAAAAAACAGGCCTGCAGACCCTAAACCCTAAACCCCAAACCCTAAACCCCAAACCCTAAACCCTAGTAAAGGCTGGACTGTGAAGGTTAGATTCTGGGGCCTGGCTGAAGAGCACCGGCTGGGCACTTTGATTCTCCAGGGCATAGCTGGAGGAGCAGCCGCAACAGCCCCTAAACCCTAAACCCTAAACCCTAAACCCTAAACCCTAAGTGTTGCAAAGTCGTACGGAGGGTTTCGCATCAAGTTGTTGCTCGGGCCTGGGAGCAGCTGCTGCAGAAGGCGCAGCTACGAGCTAGGGTTTAGGGTTCAGGGTTCAGGGTTTAGGGTTTAGGCTTTAGGGTTTAGGGTTTGTGCGCAGCAAGTGACCACCCTGCAGGAGATGGAGTGGCACTTCCGAATGATAGAAAACGCCACTCGCAAACGAGCCCAAAAACAAGCAAGAAACCCTAAACCCTAAACCCTAAACCCTAAACCCTAAACCCTAGCGGACAGAAAGCAGGAGTTTCGCTGCCCTTCCTCTGCTGCTGCATCTTCTGGCTGCGCGCGCGGAGCAGGCTGCGCGTGCGCGAAGGCGCCTAGTGCAGGGTTTAGGGTTTAGGGTTTAGGGTTTAGGGTTTAGGGTTTGTAGGTGGAGAACATTCGGGGCGTGGCGATTGGGAAGTGCAGCATGCTGCTGAAGAAGCTGCAAACCACCAAATCCAAGTTGGAATATTTCGAAAAAGAAAATAAAGAACTTCATGACTCTTTTGACGAAAGAGTCCGCGAGTTCAAAGAACAAATGCCCAAAACCATGCAGGAACTCGACGGTCCAAACCCTAAACCCTAAACCCTAAACCCTAGACCCTAAACCCTAAACCCTAAACCCTAAGCGCTCGAGCTGCGGCCTCGCGCAGTCTGGGGGGTTTCGCGGGTTTGCTGCTGCCTGCTGCTCGAGGGTTTGCTGCTGGCTCCCGCTTTGAGGGCGCAGGCCCCCTAGGGTTTAGGGTTTAGGGTTTAGGGTTTAGGATTTAGGGTTTGTGCAGCTCAGTGGCACCAGCGGATGGAAGAACTGCGGGGAGTTATTTTAAACAGCCAAACTGAAATTGAAAGCTTGAGGGAGCAGCAAGATGAGCTGCTGCAGCAGCTAACTGAGCTGCTGCAGCTGCTGGGGGCGGCCCCGGCGGACAGCAGCAGCAGCAGCAGCAGGCTGCAGGAGCTGCTGCAGCAGTTTGCTGCTGCTCTCCGCAGCAAACTGCAGCAGCACACTGCAGCAGAAATTAAATCGACAGTCAGCTTATTGGTGGAGAGGGTGACTGTCATGACACTTGAAAAACAATTAAAAAAAACAGAAGCAGAAGGGCAAGCTGCTGCTGCTGCTGCTGCTGCTGCTGCTACTGCTGCTGCTGCTGCTGCTGCG